TCAATGGTGAAAAGCTGAAAGCATTTCCTCTAAAATCAGAAACAAGATAAGGATATCCACCCTTGCCACTTTTATTCAACATAGTATTGGAAGTCCTAGCCATGGCAATCAGAGAAGAAAAAGAAATAAAAGGAATCCAAACTGGAAATGAAGAAGTAAAACTGTCACTCTTTGTAGATGACATGATACTGTAAATAGAAAATCCTAAATGCACTACCAGAAAACTACTAGAGCTAATCAATAAAGTTGGTAAAGTTGCAGGATCCAAAATTAATACACAGAAATCTGTTGCATGTCTATACACTGACATTGAAAGATCAGAAAGAGAAATTAAGGAAACAATCCCATTTACCAACACATCAAAAAGAATAAAATACCTAGGAATAAACCTACCTAAGGAGGCAAAAGACCTGTACTCTGAAAACTGTAAGATGCTGATGAAAGAAATCGAAGAAGACACAAACAGATGGAAAGATATTTCATGTTCTTGGGTTGGAAGAATCAATATTGTCAAAATGACTATACTACCCAAGGCAATCTACAGATTCAATGCAATCTCTGTCAAATTACCAACCGTGTTTTTCACATAAGTAGCACAAGTAATTTTAAAATTTGTACAGAGACACAAAAGACCCCGAATAGCCAAATAATCTTGAGAAAGAAAAACAGACCTGGAGGAATCAGGCTCCTTGACTTCAGACTATACTACAAAGCTACACTCATCAAAAGAGTGTGGTACTGGCAGTAAATAGAAATATAGATCAATGAAACAGGATAGAAAGCCCAGAAATAAACCCAAGCACCTATGGTCAATTAATCCATGACAAAGGAGGCAAGAATATACAATGGAGAAAAAGTCTCTTCAATAAGTGGTGCTGGGAAAACTGGACAGCTACATGTAAAAGAATGAAGTTAGAACATTCTCTAACACCATACACAAAAATAAACTCAAAATGGATTAAAGACCTAAATGTAAGTCTGGATATTATTAAACTCTTAGAGGAAAACATAGGCAGAACACTCTTTGACATAAATCTCAGTAATATCTTTTTGTATCCACCTCCTAGATTACTAAAATAAAAACAAACATAAACAAATGGAAGTAATTAAACTTAAAAGCTTTTGCAAAGCAAAGGAAACCATAAACAAAATGAACAGAGAACCCACAGAATGGGAGAAAATATTTGCAAATAAAGTGACTGACAATGGGTTAATCTCCAAAATATACAAACAGCACATGCAGCTCAATATCGAAAAAACAAACAACCCAATTAAAAACTGGGCAGAAGATCTAAATAGACATTTCTCCAACGAAGACATACAGGTGGCCAAAAAGCACATGAAAAAATGCTCAACATTGGTAAGTACTAGAGAAATGCAAATCAAAACTACTTTGAGGTCTCACTTCACACTGGTCAGACTGGCCATCCTCAAGTCTATAAATAAGTGCTGGAGAGGGTGTGGAGAAAAGGGAACTCTCCTACACTGTTGGTGGGAATATAAATTGGTGCAACCACTATAAAGAACAGTATGGAGGTTCCTTAGAAAACTAAAAATAGAAATACCCTATGATCCAGCAATCCCACTCCAGGGCATATATCCAGAGAGAGGCATACTTTGAAAAGATATATGTACCCCAATGTTCATAGCAACACTATTTACAATAGCCAAGACATGGAAGCAACCTAAATGTCCATCGACAGATGAACGGATAAAGAAGTACATATATACAGTGGAATATTATTCAGCCATAAAAAAGAATGAAATAATGCTGTTTACAGCAACATTGATGGACCTAGAGATGCTTATACTCAGTGAAGTAAGTCAGACAGAAAGACAAATATCATATGATATCATTTATTTTGGGAAACTAAAAAAAGGATACAAATGAACTTATTTACAAAATGGAAATGGACTCACAGACTTCGAAAACAAACTTTTGGTTACCAAAGGGGAAAGGTTGGGGTAGGGGGAGGGATAAATTAGGAGTCTGGGATTAAAATATACCCACTACAATACATAAAATAGATAATCAGTGAGGACCTACTATACAGCACAGGGAACTCTACTCACTATTCTGTAATAACCTATACAGGAAAAGAATCTGAAAAAGAATGGATATATATATGTATAAATGAATCATTTTACTGTATACCTGAAACTAACATAACACTGTAAATCAACTATACTCCAACATAAAATAAAAATTAAATTAAAAAAAGAAGAACATACCAAAAATAATGAAGAAAAATTATGGTAATAAGTGATGAAAGGGTCAGAATTGCCAGCAGTAGTCAAAAGGGATTTTATTCTATATATGTTTTACAACTTTTAATGATTTGTATATTCATGAATTCTTCCTATTGTTAAAGTTAATAAAAAGTCATAAAAGCCAAAGAAAATCTCCTCAGAATTATACATCGATCTGTCACTTTTGATTTGCACATTTTTTCTATGCATGTGTACATTAATCTCATCAGAGAAGCCTCTTTAAATCTCTTGACTTCATAAAGGTGTTCCTTTACCTCATATGTTGCTGTACTAAAACAAGGCAGGGACCTACCTACTGTATAGAACAGGGAGCTATACTCAATATTTTGTAATAACCTATAAGGGAAAAGAATGAAAAAAATAGATTTATATGTATGCATACCTAAATCACTTTGTTGTACACTGGAAAATAACACAACATTATAAATCAACTATACTACTATTAAAATAAATTAAAATAGATAAATAAATAAATAAAATGCAAAGTAATAAAAAATAAATTAAGGCAGGGATTTTAAAGAAGATAAAGACTGTATAAAGTTCCTGATTATGATATTACATATTTTTGAAACAGGTTATACTTTTTCCCTATTTTACCAATTTATATACATTTTAGAATGCTTTGCATTATATAATGTACAAGTACATAATTTATAGTAAACTAAATATTATATTTGGGGCTAGGACTGAAACCCTAATATTATTCCTTAAACAAATTAAGTTCAATACACGAAATTTTAACTTATAGTAACTTTCCCAGGAATCTAAGTTGTCAAAAGTGCAAGGACTACTTGTATATAACCAGTTTTGCACAGAAATTTTGGGTAAGTGAGGATAACACAGAATCAGACAAATAGTACAGCATGAGAACGTGTGTTAGAGAAAAAGAGAGTTTTCCAATATTTAAATTTGTTAGATACTGTAATGGGTGATAAAGGAGGGTTGTGAATCTCTTTCAATGGACTTTTAAAACACCTCACTTATTTGGGATGGTACAGTGTTCTTGCTAAAGCTATAGGTGGCTTATACTCTGTGACTTACAATTTATGTAAGAAGCAGTTGAATGAATTATATAGTAAGATGGCATGAAGTCACAGCACTGTGTCTCATGTGTATTTGTCCAAAGGACAGATACAACATTATACTGGAAAGAATCCAGTATTTGGAATCAGGATGCCTTACTTTAAGTCCAAGTTCTGCCTCTTTCTTGCTATGTGATCTTGCAAAAGTTATCTCACATCTCCAAATCTTAGTCTCCTCAGTTATAAAATGGGAATGGTATTAATAATAATGCCTACTTAACCTGACAGTTGTGAGACAAAGGATATGAAAAACAGTATATGAAAGTCCTTTGTAAACTATAAAATGGTGTACCTATTTTTTATGATTGACTAATTTTTAAAAAGTCTAGCACTGAAAACTACTTCAAGAAAATAACCTCTTTATAATGCGGTACTGCATCTATAATTAAAGTTTTCCACTTGCCAAAACAAGGCTCAGATATGAATAGTTTTTTCCATTGGGGAGATATTTCAAACCATGTTAAGACCCTAGAAGTCTATGATTTCTATTAGAGTTTGGATTTCTTAACACCAAAATAAAAGTTCTTATCACTTGTAACCACGGTAAGTCAGTCTGATAGCTGAAGGATGGTAGGTCAAAATGCCATCAGTTTTTCAATAAAGAGTCAGAAGGGTGAGGTAAAGGAGCTGCTTGTGTTATAAGTTCTTTGGGCTGGGTAAGAACTCCTTCCTTTTCTAACTATAGATTTTGGACTGTTTTGTCTTCCTTAGTCATAGTAACAATGCCTTACTCTAAAACCGGACTTCCAGGTAGAGAAGCTGGGACTAGATCACCTAACTGGGGAAACATTTAGAAAGGCTTGTTTCCCACCTCTGCTCCCCACCTCAATGCCTTTCCATGTCCTTATTCAGCTGCGTTCATCCCAGGTACAGTCTGTAATAACTACTACAAGTTCTCACTCAAAATTTCTGTCAGCTACTGTATTATTGGGACCAGTCTGCTATTAACAACATAAACAAATGTTAGAGGCACAGAAGTAAGCATGGAGACAAAGAATAGGCGGCAATGGGGTTACAGGACATGAGAACTTAACTTTTAGCTCTTCATAAAAATCTCAAGATGACTCAATAATCTGGTGGGAGAAAGGTGGAGGGCAAAGTTCTAATTCCTTATTTTTCCTTTGAGGGCTGCCTTTTAGAAAAGTATACTACGTGGATGTGTAGCCTTGCCCCTATATACTATCATTTATTTTTTCATGTACTAGACCATTCTAAAGCAGAATGGGAATGAGATTTTAAAGAAAATTTAGCCAATGTGCATGAACCAGGGCAGAGAAAGGTGAGCTGTTACCCACTGATTGAATCAATTCAAACAAAGCACTCCAAGTGACAACTGGTAGGATTGTTTACAAACATGCACAACACTGTTTATTATGTTTCCTGATTTATCTGACTGGTTATAAATTATAGTATCACAAAGCTGGTAAGGAGCCTTCCAAGCTGTCATCTAATCCTACCTAAGCCACCTACATTTGCTAAACAAATCTGGCCATACTTGCCCTTCTCCATCCAAAGGGCACTTATGAGGTTGACATGCTTATATAATCTTTCTGTACACTATTTTCTCATTACACTACATTCGTTGTGTTAACACAGTCTTTATTAGCCTGCTGAGTGGAGAAAAGACTTCCTTCTCACCCTACTTACCTCGGTTGTCATCCTCATTTTCTTCCCAGGGCTCTTCATTTGCTAGCAATGGGTTCTGCGACTCATTCATACACCTCATAGGGAAAGAGTGTCCATCACCAGGGCTGGTGGGGAAATGAAGGCAGTGAGATCCTGCAGCTGACATAGACATTTTATGAAGGTAATAACCCTATGAGAAATAGGAGTGGGGTTCTTAGAAAGACTTAAACCATTTAGCTTATTGACTAAAGCCATTCTGGAATAGGCTCTTACAATAGCATCATTTAGTTGCCCTATTGCTCTCAATTTCTATATCTGTTTGTTTGTCTGCATCAGTCTTGACTCTTTTAGTTTTTAAGCAACTCTTTAATTGCTTCCCACAATGGCCAGTATGGCAAAGTGCACATAAAGCAAACTTCATAAATATAACTTAATGATGAGGATTCCAATTTATATCCCATTATACTATTGATTTGGCTCTAAATTTTCAAGAAAAATTAGCAGATTCAGAATCACTGAGAGAAGAAGAAGAACTACAATCCTGCAGCCTGTAGAACAAAAACCACATTCACAGAAAGATAGACAAGATGAAAAGACAGAGGGCTATGTACCAGATAAAGGAAAAAGAAAAAAACCCAGAAAAACAACTAAATGAAGTGGAGATAGGCAACCTTCCAGAAAAATGATTCAGAATAATGATAGTGAAGATGATCCAGGACCTCGGAAAAAGAATGGAGGCAAAGATCAAGAAGATGCAAGAAATGTTTAACAAAGACCTAGAAGAGTTAAAGAATAAACAAACAGAGATGAACTATACAATAACTGAAATGAAAACTACACTGGAAGGAATCAATAGCAGAATAACTGAGGCAGAAGAACGGATAAAGGACCTGGAAGACAGAATGGTGGAATTCACTGCTGAGGAAGAGAATAAAGAAAAAAGAATGAAAAGAAATGAAGACAGCCTAAGAAACCTCTGGGACAACACCAAACACAACAACATTTGCATTATAGGGGCCCCAGAAGGAGAAGAGAGAGTGAAAGGAACAGAGAAAATATTTGAAGAGATTATACTCGAAAACATCCCTAACTTGGGAAAGGAAATAGCCACCCAAGTCCAGGAAGTCCAGAGTCCCATATAGGATAAACCCAAGGAGAAACATGCCAAGACACATAGTAATCAAATTGGCAAAAATTAAAGACAAAGAAAAATTATGGAAAGTAGCAAGGGAAAAACGACAAATAACATACAAGGGAACTCTCATAAGGTTAACAGCTGATTTCTCAGCAGAAATTCTACAAGTCAGAAGGGAGTGGCATGATATAATTAAAGTGATGAATGGGAAGAACCTACAACTAAGATTACTCTACCCAGCAAGGATCTCATTCACATTCGATGGAGAAATCAAAAGCTTTACAGACAAGCATAAGCTGAGAGAATTCAGCACCACCAAACCAGCTCTACAACAAATGCTAAAGGAACTTCTCTAAGTGGGAAACACAAGAGAAGAAAAGGACTTACAAAAACAAACCCAAAACAATTAAGAAAATGGGCACAGGAACATACATATCGATAATTACCCTAAACGTGAATTGATTAAATGCTCCAACCAAAAGACACAGGCTTGATGAATGGATACAAAAACAAGAACCATATATATGCTGTCTACAAGAGACCCACTTCAGACCTAGGGTCACATACAGATTGAAAGTGAGGAGATGGAAAAAGATATTCCATGAAAATGGAAATCAAAAGAAAGCTGGAGTAGCTATACTCATATCAGATAAAACAGACTTTAAAATAAAAAATGTTACAAGAGACAAGGAAGGACACTACATAATGATCAAGGGATCAATCCAAGAAGAAGATATAACAATTATAAATATACATGCACCCAACATAGAAGCACCTCAATACATAAGGCAACTGCTAACAGCTATAAAAGAGGAAATCAACAGTAACACAATAATAGTCGGGGACTTTAACACCTCACTTACACCAATGGAAAGATCATCCAAAATGAAAATAAATAAGGAAACAGAAGCTTTAAATGGCACAATAGATCAGATAGATTTATTTGATATTTATAGGACATTCCATCCAAAAACAGCAGATTACACTTTCTTCTCAAGTGTGCATGGAACATTCTCCAGATAGATCACATCTTGGGCCACAAATCAAGCCTCAGTAAATTTAAGAAAATTGAAATCATATCAAGCATCTTTTCTCACCACAACGCTATGAGATTAGAAATGAATTACAGGGGAAAAAACCGTAAAAAACACAAACACATGGATGCTAAACAATATGTTACTAAATAACCGAGAGATCACTGAAAAAATCAAAGAGGAAATCAAAAAATACCTACGGATACAGATACACCAGAAATATATCTACACGTGGAACAAATCCTACAGAACACCTACTGAACGCTGGCAGAAGGCCTCAGACCTCCCAAAAGGCAAGAAACCCCCCACGTATCTGGGTAGGGCAAAAGAAAAAAGAATAAACAGAGACAAAAGGATAGGGACGGGACCTGCACCAGTGGGAGGGAGCTGTGAAGGAGGAGAGTTTTCCACACACTAGGAAGCCCCTTCACCGGCAGAGACTGCAGGTGGCGGAGGGGGAAAGCTTCGGAGCCGTGGAGGAGAGCACAGCAACAGGGTTGTGGGGGGCAAAGTGGAGAGATTCCCGCACAGAGGATCGGTGCAGACAGGCACTCACTAGCCCGAGAGGCTTGTCTGCTCCCCCGCCGGAGTGGGCGGGGCTGAGAGCTGAGGCTCAGGCTTCGGTCGGAGTGCAGGGAGAGGACTGGGGTTGGCGGCATGAACACAGCCGGAAGAGGGCTAGTGCACCATGGCTAGACGGGAGGGAGTCCGGAGAAAAGTCTGGACCTGCTGAAGAGGCAAGAGACTTTTTCTTCCCAATTTGTTTTCTGGTGCACGAGGAGAGGGGATTAAGAACGCTGCTTTAAGGAGCTCCAGAGACGGGCGTGAGCCGCGGCTAAAAGCGCAGACCCCAGAGACAAACATGAGACGCTAAGGCTGCTGCTGCCACCACAAGGAAGCCTGTGTGCGAGCACAGGTCACTATCCACAGCCCCCTTCCGGGGAGCCTGTGCAGCCCGCCACTGCCAGGGTCCCAGGATCCAGGAACAACTTCCCCGGGAGAACGCACGGTGCCCCTCAGGCTGGTGCAACGTCATGTTGGCCTCTGCCGCCGCAGGCCTGCCCCGCATCTTTACCCCTCCCTTCCCCCGGCCTGAGTGAGTCAGAGCCCCCAATCAGCGGCTCCTTTAACCCCGTCCTGTCTGAGTGAAGAAGAGATGCCCTCCGGTGACCTACATGCAGAGGCGGGGCCAAATCCAAAGCTGAGCCCCTGGGAGCTGTGAGAACAAAGAAAAGAAAGGGAAGTCTCTCCCAGCAGCCTCAGAAGCAGCGGAGTAAAGCTCCACAATCAACTTGATGTACCCTGCATCTGTGGAATACATGAATAGACAACAAATCATCCCAAACTGAGGAGGTGGACTTTGAGAGCAAGATTTATAATTTTTCCCCTTTTCCTCTTTTTGTGTGTATGTGTATGCTTCTGTGTGAGATTTTGTCTGTATAGCTTTGCTTCCACCATTTCTCCGAGGGTTCTATCCATCCGTTTTATTTTTCTCTTAATAATTATTTTTTATTTTAATAACTTTATTATATTTTATCTTACTTTATTTTACTTTATCTTCTTTATTTCTTTTTTCCTTCCTTCCCTCCTTACTTCCTTCCTCCCTCCCTCCCTCCCTGCCTCTTTTCTTTCTTTCTTTCTTTCTTTCTTTCTACTTCTACTAATTCTTTCTTTCTACTTTTTCTCCCTTTTATTCTGAGCCATGTGGATGAAAGGATCTTGGTGCTGCAGCCAGGAGTCAGTGCTGTGCCTCTGAGGTGGGAGAGCCAACTTCAGGACACTGGTCCACAAGAGACCTCCCAGCTCCACGTAATATCAAATGGCAAAAATCTCCCAGAGATCTTCATCTCAACACCAGTACCCAGCTTCACTCAACGACCAGCAAGCTACAGTGCTGGACACCCTATGCCAAGCAACTAGCAAGAGAGGAACAAAACCCCACCCATTAGCAGAGAGTCTGCCGAAAATCATAATAAGTCCACAGACACCCCAAGCACACTGCCAGATGTGGACCTGCCGACCAGAAAGACAAGATCCAGCCTCATCCACCAGAACACAGGCACTAGTCCCCTCCACCAGGAAGCCTACACAACCCACTGAACCAACATTAGCCACTGGGGACAGACATCAAAAACAACGGGAACTACGAACTCACAGTCTGCAAAAAGGAGACCCCAAACACAGTAAGATAATCAAAATGAGAAGAGAGAGAAACACACAGCAGATGAAGGAGCAAGATAAAAACCCACCAGACCTAACAAATGAAGAGGAAATAGGCAGTCTACCTGAAAAAGAATTCAGAATAATGATAGTAAAGATGATCCAAAATCTTGGAAATAGAATAGACACAATGCAAGAAACATTTAACAAGTACCTAGAAGAATTAAAGATGAAAGAAACAACGATGAACAACACAATAAATGAAATTAAAAATACTCTAGAAAGGATTAATAGCAGAATAACTGAGGCAGAAGAACGGATAATTGACCTGGAAGATAAACTAGTGGAAATAACTACTGCAGAGCGAATAAAGAAAAAAGAATGAAAAGAACTGAGGACAGTCTCAGAGACCTCTGGGACAACATTAAACACAACAACATTCGAATTATAGGGGTTCCAGAAGAAGAAGAGATAAAGAAAGGGACTGAGAAAATATTTGGAGAGATTATAGTTGAAAACTTCCCTAATATGGGAAAGGAAATAGTTAATCAAATCCAGGAAGCACAGAGAGTCCCATACAGGATAAATCCAAGGAGAAATACGCCAAGACACGTATTAATCAAACTGTAAAAAATTAAATAAAAAGAAAATATATTAAAAGCAGCAAGGGAAAAACAACAAATAACACACGAGGGAATTCCCAGAAGGTTAACAGCTGATCTTTCAGCAGAAACTCTGCAAGCCAGAAGGGACTGGCAGGACATATTTAAAGTGATGAAGGAGAAAAACCTGCAAC